TATATTTTTAATATATTTTTAATCTGTATTTCTAAAATACAAGTAAGAGAAACTCTATTTTTATTATTAGAAATTTGCTAAATATATTAGAAACTTCTTCAGTCATTTGTTCTCTCTCCTGAATCGGGCATCCTACCACTATGCTAAGAGCACAAGCTCGTGCTGATTTTAGTAGTTACTTGCTTGACCAAGTTGCCCTCCATAAAACTGTCCTTTTCATTATTTTAATGTTTTTTGAGCTGCCTACGCAGCACAACCGACCAAACATTGACAGGTCGAGGGTCCCGGCCCATTATTGGCATGAAGGGTCAGTTTCAAAATTTTTGGCTCTGTTTGCCCTTGCCTATCCTTATCCACTTTGCATGAGTTTAAATTTAATGAGGGTAATTAGTTATCAAAATATTTTTTTTTATCATCATTAGTGATCAAAATATTAATTAGACTTGCACTTGCGGCTTCGGTTGCGTTGGAAGTGCATCATCTCCTTGGCGTTTATGTCAAGGGTTTTAGCTGCCAGTGCTGCAGTAATATTATACTTACTTTTTTATCTCCTAATTTTTCACTGATCAAAAAATATATATATATATTAATTAGACTTGTTGATCTCTGGCCGAACCATTTAAGTTTTTTGATGAAACGATCCTTAACATGACCAGCGTGTTAGTCCAACTGCTTCAAGATCTAAATTTCCGTAGTCCATGGTTTTTATTCATTTAAAATATAATTTTTTTATTTTATAATTTGAATTATAAAATAAAAATTAATAGATAAAGAATAACCACTAATATAAAATAATTTATTTTTATTTTAATAATTTAAGTTATGACTGCACAACATATATATTTTTGTTAAAATATATGGTTGGTAAATCTCCAACCCCTCCTATACAAACTGCATATTTTATATTAGAAAAGGAAACCACTCTAATATCATATCAAAAGAACAACTGGGATTTGTTGAAAAACATCACCTAGAAACAGAGGAATCTAGATTGACAAATGTGAGACAGAGAAAAACGGAAAGAAGTCTGCGGTCGGAGGACTGTGCACGCGTGCAGCACCGGCGGTTGACCACGGCGTAGGAAGAAACGAAAGAGATCAGGAGACGAGATTTTTGTTCCTTGGTTAGAGTTACACGTTGTCTCCAAAAGAACAGGGGTTTCAAGCATTTGTCAATGGTCATGTTCCTTGTGGAAGGAAAACTCATACAATGATACTCCAAAATCGTACATAGTTGCCTCCACGTGCACCGTCTAATTTAAATTTCAGTCTCACGTCATACAATAACAGAAATTTTATTAACATGGACAATTGGGGGAGTAGGAAAGTTTTCCCAATCCCTAAGTGGGAATTCCCAAGCTCTTGGGCAAGTCCTTTCATGGTAACATAATTTGAATTGCACTTATCCTAACTTGATAATTTTTTTCAAGACAAGATAGAATTGTATTAATGTGAGCTGTCATTACAAAGCAATGTCCTCAACATCGGAGGAGGATCGTATGCCCAATAAAATGGTATTAATCATACTAAGTCATCTTTCCTAGTCTAACTTGCAAATTGGTCTAAAGATTAGACCGAAGATTAACATGGGGTAGCTTTGCTTAAAGCAAATTTAATGATGTCGAACTTTAAGAAAAGTGATACGTTGAGACGTCATTTTTGAATCTCGAGACTTCTTTATGCAATGCATCCCTTGGTTTTCAAGTCATTATTTGCGGTTGTGTTAAATGTCTTCATCCAATGTTTTTATACAAGATTTGAACTGCTCTTTAATATTGATTGCTTCCTAAATTCATATCACCTCTGTATTACATGTTGTAATAACAAAACAAGTGTTTTTCATGTTGTGCCACAAATCAAAAGGGAAGTTCAAATAGTTATATCTTCACAGACATGTTTATTTCACCAAGTCTTTCTTTAAGACAGT